TATTTGTCTTTATATGTAATACAGTAGGCCTCGCCTCGTTATAGCACTCGTTCTCAACCCCTGACCATGGTCATGCAGGCAATGCATTTCTGATCATGTCGCTATGTCGCCACCGACATGTACGCGAATGGGCCAATTGCATTTAACAACGAGGTGTGTTATTGTTTCGAAGTACTGTATAGTCCGAAGACATTGTCTATAGAAAAGTCAGATAAAAAAAAAACAATAATACAATAATGGCAAGAAAACAATAGGCTTTTAGCCGACTACAGTCCATGTTACCTGCTTAAAACAATTGTATTTCCAATACCCCGATTACGTAACCAATCAGTTTTGTCCCATGGTTGTCCCCTCTCGTTGAACAATAGTTAAGAAATATAAATCATAACAAAAGTTATAGTTAGGAAATATAAATCATAACAAAAGTTAGACCCATAGTCGGCAAGATTTTCGAAATGTTTTCGTGTGGCTCAACACACAACGTCCGTTCTCAGAAAGTTTGGTCAGTCTGGCCTTGGAAGTGACCTCAACCATAATCTAGAATCCCGGAACCTCGCTAAAGTTCGAACGACCCTAGTTTCCATAAAAATTAAGTATTTTTCTATTGACTATGATGAAATTTTGGACAGTGATAGAAAAAATACAATAAAATGGTTTCCACGGTCATAGCTAGCCTTAATCACAGTATGAATAATTGAGGAAAAAGTGAGGGTCCGTTCCATTATCTTGTCGATATAAATTTCTAAGATGAATGTGTAAGGTCTTTGACTTCATCCAAAACGGATGTCATTATTTTTCATTATATTTCATTTTTTCCCATTTTGGTAGCCCGTCCCCACTATGCACACGTCTCCTTGACATACAATATTATAAACTGGTGCTTGCCACTGTGTGTGCATTGAATAACCGTGGAGATCCTTTCAGAACTTTGGCCTGGTTCAACCATCGTTGAATTTATTGCGTTTGTACGGGGATGAAAGGACAACAGTCGCATCATCTTTCCGAAGAGATCTTAAGCTCTTGGTCCCGTGTGCAATTATAATAATCCATCGTGTACCGTACTTTTATAAACGTCTCCATATACACTCTACAGAAAAGAGCAGAGGATTCTGCCAATTCTCTCAACAATAAGGATCCGATATAGGCCTATTAGGACTTTCGTGGGGTATTTATTCTCCGTGTGTTTGACCATCATTACGATGCTGCACATCAAGACATGTCGCTAGAACTAATGCCGGGTATGTGGCGCTCCTGATACAAAAAGTGATATCCAATTTACTTATTATTTATTTATTTCGGTATATAAAAAATACAAAACAGCAGTCAATTGCTGAAATCGTTTGTTTACAATAGGTAGATAAAAGTAGAAATGTAAAAATAGAAACTGGTACAATAGAATAGGCCTATTTATAATTACCAATCATTATCCAATAAATATCTATCCATCCATGAGAATGTACGAGGAATAGGCCTAAGTTATTTGTTTCCAGCTATTTATACGTCATGATCGAAAATATATGTTTTCGGCGAGTTAAAGACGTTGATATACGAATATCCTAACTTTTGCTGCCATAAATTTATTAATTAAAGGATTTCTTATAAAAATAACTGAATGATCGAATGTCTAAGCTTTTTAAACACATTTAAATTTATTTATTGACATTTCTGCGTTACTACACAGGCAGTTAACGATTTTTTCTTTATAGATACGGTATTGACCCATGTTCATAATTAATTACTATAATTATAGGTTCGGTTGTACAAATTAATAATGATCGTAAAAACATGACATCATAGAGGCTGAACGTTTGATTGGATTATGTGGCTTTCATACTTACAAGTGACGTCAGAATTTCAAGGTCGTTGTTTTGTTTCTATGGAAAGCTGGCAGGCCGTATTTACAAATAGTAACACCAGAGAGGTATTTGACCTACTAACACATATACCGTACTGTATGTATAATATGTATATATA